GCCACGCCGACCCCGGGGCACGGGGCCGGCCACAGCCCGGGTGGTATCGATGGAGTGCTGCTGCTTCCGGTGTGGGGTGCCGTGTAGACCTGTGTCAGGCGGGTCTGAAGCCAGGAGACAGGAGCAGCGGGAGACACACGCACACACGGGTGCAGACCTGCTTAGATGCTGACGCACAAGGAGCGTTACTGCAGGAAACGGGGGTTTGCAGGCCCAGCGGGCTGGGAACTCAGGACCCAAATCTTTCCTCTAAAGGAAAATCTCAGCTTTGTTCTCGACGGCTGTGAGCTACGGACGAGCCCCACTCAGGTCATCCGGGACAATATTTAAAGTCAGCAGGTGGCAGAGGTTAATTTAACCCCAGGTGCCAGCCCCCTCTGCGTGCCCGGACGAGCGTTGCTTGAGTCACCAGGAGGATGCCTGACCAAGTGACGCACGAAGCTGGTCACACGCCGCCTAACTCATTCTGAGTGACGAGTAGCTGTCATTTTTATGTTATTCTTTGCGGCTTTTGGTCCTGAATAATTTTTATTTGTGCAGGGCTAATGAGGGACAGGGAGAGTAGGGGCTGTGAGGAGAGACCGAAGGGGCCGCGGTCCCACTGTGGGGGCCTCGCCCTGCCCTGTAGCCGCCTCCGGGCACCTCAAATGTGAGGGGGGCCCGGAGTCCTGAGCGACCGCCCCCCCGGCACCCCCCCTCCAGCCCCTGGACTACGAGAGCTGTGAGCAGTACAACCTGAGAGTCGCGGTGCAGAACGAGGCCCCCCTGCAGGCAGCCGCCCCCAGGGCCGAGCGGGGCCAGGCCAGGGTCAGCATACGGGTGCAGGACGTCAACGAGGCGCCCGTGTTCCAGGAGAACCCACTGCGGACCAGCCTGCCTGAGGGGGTGCCCCCGGGAACCCCCGTGGCCACCTTCTCTGCCCAAGACCCTGACACGCAGCGGCTGCAGAGGCTCAGGTGGGGGCCGCCGGGGTGAGGCAGAGGGGGCCGACGGCCTCCTTTGTCCGCTGCCCAGCCGGGGCGCAGAGCACGGTGGAGGGTTCCCGTCAGAGCCCTGGTCGGAGGGTAGAGGGCACGTCTGTCCGTGTACAGCCCTGAGCATCCCTGGGGCCTCGAGCCCTGTGCATACATGCGTGTCGGCGTGAACTCATCCCAGCAGGCCAGACTGGGCGCTTGCTGGCCCACCGACGCCACCCGGTCCGTTCCGGTGAGCCGGTGTGTGCAGGCCGGCCCTTCGTGTGTTGGATGTCCCCCCAGCCCTGGCCCTATGGATCTGTGTCTGTCTCCACGGTGCCCACGCGCTGAAGCCTGGCTGTGGGACTCACTGACCTTGGGGCCCTGGCCCTGGGCCTCACCTGCCTTCCCTGAGCCTCGGTTTCCTCATCTGTCAATTGGGACAGAAACCACCAGCTCAGGGCAGTTGGGGGCCTAGCTTCAGAGGTGCGTGCGTGCACACGTGTGTGGGAAATGTGTGTTTCTGTATGACCACACCCCTAGGGGTCCTGTGTCTGCTCAGGGTCACTCTGTCCCCTCCTCGGCCAACAGCTACTCTAAGGATTATGACCCAGATGACTGGCTGCGGGTGGACAGAGCCACGGGTCAGATCCAGACCCAGCGAGTGCTCAGCCCAGCCTCGCCCTTCCTCAAGGATGGCTGGTACAGGGCCATCATCCTGGCCTACGACGATGGTGAGTGTCAAGCTGTGCCTGGGCTCCGGGGCTCCCGGACCCGGGCCGGGCATCCTTGCTGCTGCCCGAGGGCCGAGAGCTGCGCGTGCCGTGGAGCCGATTCTCGGGTGGGCAGTCTGCCCCAGCAGGGCAAGGAGCCCACCTGGCCTCTCCCGCCTGCAGCCTCCCCACCCAGCACGGCCACCGGGACCCTGTCCATTGAGATCCTGGAGGTCAATGACCACGCCCCGGAGCTGTCCCCGCCATCTGGTAGCATGTGCAGCAAGCCAGATCAGGGTTCTGGCCTTCTCCTGGGGGCCACGGATGCGGACCTGCCCCCCCACGGGGCTCCCTTCCACTTTCAGCTGAGTCCCCGTGTCCCAGAGCTGACCCGGAACTGGAGTGTCAGCCAGGTTAACGGTGAGTTTTTCCAAACACCGGCCCGCGGGTGCAGCCCTGAGACCTGGGGGGCGCTCAGCACCGTGGTCCTGCTGGTTCCCGCCGCATCCTCGGGAGGGGCAGGAACTATCACGCCCAGCGGGAGGATGGGGAAACTGAGGCCCCAGGTCTTGGGATCCTCACCCACCAGGCCGCTTCTCCGAGCAGCAAGGGGCGCGGAGGGGCCCTGGAGGGGCAGGGGCAGGGCGCGTCAGGTTGGGAGGCCACTGCTGACCTTGGGCGCCCTCTGCAGTGAGCCACGCGCGCCTGCGTCTCCGGCACCAGGTCCGGGAGGGTCTACACCGCCTCAGCCTGCTGCTCCGAGACTCCGGGCAGCCGCCCCAGCAGCGCGAGCAGCCCCTGAACGTGACGGTGTGTCGCTGCGGCCCGGATGGCGCCTGTCTGCCGGGGGCCGCCGCCCGGAGGGCAGGAGGCGTGGGCGTCAGCCTGGGCGCCCTGGTCATCGTGCTGGCCAGCATCATCCTGCTGCTCTGTGAGCGCCCGCGTCCGGACACCTGCTGCCCTGACTCCGCCTCCTCGCAGGCCCCGCCCCACCTTAACCCCCCCCCCCCCCCCCCCCCCCCCCCCCCCCCCCCCGCAGGCCCCATACCACCCGATCCCATGCCCCACATGTCCAGACCCGGCTGGATGACCGGGCACCCACCACCTCCTATCTGTCGCCTCCTGCCCAGTGCTCGCCCTGCCGGTCGCCCTCGTCACGCGGTCCCGGCGGCAGTCAGGGGACAAAGGGTTTCTGCACGGGCTGCAGGACGATCTCCGGGACAACATCCTGAACTATGACGAGCAGGGGGGCGGGGAGGAGGACCAGGTGAGGGGAGGGCGTTGGGGGAGGTAGTGGTTTAGAAATGCTAAGCGGTTGGAAGGGTCCCTGAGAGCCTAGGCCGTGGGTCCCCCTCCAGCACCCCTCACCCCACCTTCAGGAGGAGGGAGTGTCCCCCACAAGTCCTCTTCCCTTCCCCGCACCCCCCTCATCCCACCAGGGTGCCTGGGACCAACACCCCACCCTGTGATTGATCGGGGCTGAATTCTGCCTACTGTGTCCCCAGGATGCTTACGACATCAACCAGCTGCGCCACCCAACAGAGCTGGCGGCCTTGTGCGCTCCCCTGGGACGGCCGCCACTGCGCCGAGATGCCCCGTTCGGCCGAGTGCGCCCCCAGCCACCCCGCATGCTGCCCACCAGCCCCGCTGACATCGCTGACTTCATCAATGATGTAGGTGTCCCTGGAGGTGTGCAGACGGGCAAAGGCACAGGGACACGCACATAGGGTCTCCCGCCCACGCCTCTGTGAACCCTCCGGACGCGCACCATTTGTGGAGAGTGGGTCCGTCGCTGGGGACCCCAGCTGAGCTTCTGGGGAACCCCTGACAATCTGAGAGCTGGGTGAGGCTGGGGAAGTGCAGGGGACCACAGGCGCAGGTCCCCTGGAAGAGGAAGCTGCCCCCCACCCCCGCCCGGGATCGCGCGGAGCCTGGTTGAGCTGGGGTGGGTTGGAGCTTGCTCTGCGGCACTTTCCACTGGACACCGATCGACAAAAGTTAGCATGTCCCGAGGCTGGGGGTGCAGCGGTCAGTCGCATCCCGGAACCAGAGTTATGTGCGCACAGCATGGCGAGTTCTCGCAGTCAAGGCGGGGGAGGCTCAGAAGGCAGGCGGCCCGGTTGGATGGGCTGTGGGGGAGCAGAGGGTGCCGCCTGCCGGCCTGCCCGACGCCACACCCGCCCTCAAGCACAGGCCTTGATTCAGAGGAAGCCCCCTACAGATGCCTGGGCAGGGGTCAGGCCCAGGTGCAGGTCCCGGTTAGGAGGGCGTGTGACCCTTTGGGTGGGAGGATGGACGGAGGTGGACGGGCCAGAACCCTTTGCGAAATCTTTAAAAGGCAGAAACGGGGGTCCCACCGATGGGATGTTAGGAAGCCTCACGTACCCCAGCCCTGAGGAAGGAGAGAGCCGCCCAGAGGGAGGTGGGGCGGGTCTCCCAACGGTGCCTGCACTCGGGGCTCTGTCCCTCCCCCTCCTCTTCCCGCGGGGCTGGGGTGGGGCTCCCTCCTCGCTGCCTCGGGCTGAGCGGGCTGCAGCCTGAGCTGGGGGCGGGGCTTGGTGCCGGCAGGGATCCTGAGCTCTCCCGGGCCTCTCCGCAGGGCTTGGAGGTGGCAGACGGCGACCCCAGTGTCCCGCCCTATGACACAGCTCTCATCTACGACTACGAGGGGGATGGTTCCGTGGCAGGGACGCTGAGCTCCATCCTGTCCAGCCTGGGGGACGAGGACCAGGACTACAGCTGCCTGCGGGACTGGGGGCCCCGCTTCGCCCGGCTGGCTGACCTGTACGGGCCCCCGTGAGGGTCGGAAAAGGGCCAGGGAAGGGTGGGGGGCTTTCTGATGCGGACCCGCGTGCCCTGCTCGCGGTACGACCACCAGACACGGAGGGCAGACGTCTTTCCGAGGACAGGCGGCCTGGCCTCCAGGCCCGGCTGACCTCTGTAGAGGCAGCCAGGGGGCCCCCAGGCCCTTGGGCAAGTCTGCTTCTCCCAGGGAGGACAGAGACCGGGGGACCCAGCGCCCGGAGAGCCGGAGCCAGACAAGCCTGGCGTCATTCAGCCTTCCCCCACCTCGCCGGCCCCCAGCGGCCTCCCACTCATGCCCCCCCACCCCCACTCCTGAATTAAAAACCTGCCCTTCTCTCCAGTGCCGGTGGCGCGGTCCGGGCTGCCCCCCGGGGGGGGGGGGGGAGAGGGGGGTTAGTGAGCGCACCGGGAGCCCCCTCCAACCCAGGGCGCGCGGCCCGAGAGAAGCAGCGGCGAGGACGCCAAGTTCCACGGATGCCTTTATCCTCCACGCGTGGCGGGAATGGAGGGGAGCCAGGGCGCAGGCGAGTCAGCCGTCCCGCTCCGGCCGGGACCCCGCCCGGTGGGAGGGCGGGGGCGGGCGGCGGCGGCGGGCCCGGGACCCGCGCAGGCAGTCGGCGTCCCGCAGCGACGCGGGCAGGCGGCGGCCTCGGCTCTCGGGCAGCAGCAGGACGCACAGCAGGGCGAGCACCGCGAAGGAGGCGAAGACCACGTGGTGCAGGAAGAAGCCGCCCCGGCCGTGCACGTCGGCCAGCGGCGCTGCCGCCTGGCCCAGGAAGCCGGCCCCCAGCACCAGGCCTAGCCCGGCCCCCCTGCGGGAGAGCGCGCGGTGGGGGGCGGCCCGGGGGGAAAGCGGGGGTGGGGGGGGGGGACTCAAAGTCTGTGGAAAAACTTCCCCCTGGGCTGGAACAAGTTTCCTTCTTTTCATCAGAAAATCCAAAACCGCTCCCCACCCCCCGCAATTCTGTCCTGGCTGCTCCCCAAGCCCCCGGCCCCATTCCTCCACTCCCTTCTGTGACCAGCGGCCCCCGTGTGTCCCCCAAGAGGTGGTGGGAACCCCGGGCGCGACGGGGAGGGCAGGGTGTGGCTGGCAGCCCAAGCTCACCTGATCACCGTGGGGAACACCTCCGCCGCGAAGAGGCTGCTGAGGGCAGACACGGCGTGGGAGGCCAGGAGGCCCAGGACGGACAGGGACAGCATGGTCCAAGCTGGCAGGTCTGGGGGCAGGAGGAGGCAGTTCCCATGCTGCCCGCAGGGCCTGGCCTCCCCAGCCTTTCCCCATCTGGGATCATAGAACTTTTTTGGCCTTCTGACTCTTTGGGCCTCAGTTTCTCTGGGTACACGGTGGGAAGACAGACGGGGCAAAAACCAGAACTTCATCCCAATGCCCCGTATCCTGTGCTACCTTCTCGTGGCCCCAGGAGGGGGCTGATCCCACTGCCCCACATCGGTCAGACCCTCTGCCAAACACGAGGACTCGGAATCGGCAGGGCCCCACACTCACACTGGGTCCCGGCAAGAAGCAGCAGGGATGCCAGGCCCAGGACCAGGGTGCCCAGCAACAGGACCGGGCGTCGCCCCCAGCGGTCCCCCGTCAGCAGCAGGAGCACAGCGGCCGCTGCCTCCAGGCCGGCGGTCAGGAAGTAGGGCCAATAGAAGGTGGGCTCGCTCGGGGCCAGGTTGCGGAGGAAGCCGGCTCTGATGCCCCCGCAGATCAGCCTGGGAGAGAGGGAGAACGCGGCTATGGCCCAGCCAGGGCGGGGGACTCCAGCGACCAAAGACCCACCCACCGGGGGGGTGGAAGGCGCAGACCCCATCAGCCCACCCGTGCCCTCCCCTCCTCACGAACTGAAGCCCAGGATGAGTCCGTTTCTCCAGGCGACGCGGGTGTGCCGGAGCTCCAGGACGGAGTGGTACTGGGGCCGGGGGCTCTGTGCACCCAGCATGTCCAGCTCTGTGGCTCCGGGGACATGAGGGGCACATGTGAGAGACGACCCTTCTCTGGCACCCGTCTCCCATCTCCCGGCTGGTGCATCGCCTGTAACCAGGGAGCTCTCCTCCTCTGAGCCGTCCTCCGGGTCCACGCCCCCAGGTTCTGCCAAGTGCCACAGGATCTTCCGGGCCCGGGCTGGCTGTCCCGTGGCCAGCAGCCAGCAGGGAGACTCAGGGAACAGGGCCGGCGACCTGCAGGGGTGGGGCGAGAAGGCCCACAGGTCCTCTCCGCAAGGAGAGCAGAGGCTCACGACGCCTCTCTGGATCCAGGGGGACAAGTCATGCCGCGGCTTTCTGGATCCCTGTGCCACACCCACACGCCCGGTGCTGCACAAAGGTGCGGAGAGAAGTGACACACGGGGCCGCCATACTGTCACTGAACCGTGACACGCTTACCCCCAAAAGAGCAGCAGAAGGCCCGTCACCAGGGCGCTGAGCCCCTGCAGGAGGCGCCAGTCCTGCGCCAGAAGCGCCAGGCCAGGCAGCAGCAGCGTGCCCAGCACGGAGAAGAGGCCGGCTCCCACGGAGAACACCAGGCGACGAGGGGGGTCACACAGCTCCAGGCCTGAGCAGACGCAGATGGCCTGAGGACCTCTCCAGGGCTGCGGGGACCGGTCACTAACCTACAGCTCCAGCACCTGCACCTTCCCACCAGGGACAGACCTCCTAGAACAAAGAGTGCCCCTCCCCCCTCCGCAAGAAGGGCCCTCAGCAGGAGTGCCAGAGGGGCCTCCCATGCCACCTGACTTTGCCCCGGCAGCAGAGTGGGAGGCCTGGCCTGAGGGGGTGCTCCCCAGGGCCCCCACCCCCGCGGTACTCACGAGCCACGTAGAGGGCAAGGGAAAACCCTGCCAAGGCCCCCCCGTGAAGCAGCCTTAAGGTCAGCAGGGCGGCAAAGCTGGCCGCCAGGGCCTCACTGGCCCCCAGGCCTGTGGCCAGCACCAGGGAGGCCACGAACACAGCCCGACGTCCAAACCTGGGGGGCAGCCAGGGAAACGTGGGTGCGGGTCAGGACAGCTAGGGCATCCGGCGGGACCCTGAGGGCCTGGAAGGGGGGGGGGGCTGCTGGGAGAGAAGCAAAGGGGCAGCACCTCACCGGTCACAGCCCGCACCCAGGAAGACACAGCCCAGCAGCCAGCCCAGGAGGTGGCTCATCTGCTCCAGGGGCACCTTCCAGCCATCCTCACACACCAGGTTCCACTACGGGGACACCAATCACCTGTTGGCTGGCCGGGCCACCCTTCCCATTGCGAGTTCCCAGAAGGCCAGGCTGCAAGGGGCGCTAGATGGCCTGCTCCAGTTCCTCTCTGGAGATAAGGGGAAACTGAGGCACAGAGAGGGTGGAGGACCTGCTCAAGGTCACACAGCATGACCTCCTGACTCTGGTAGTCTTCCCGCAGCATCCGAACAATTCCTGGTCTGAGTCCCCAGAGGGCAATGACAGGGGTCCCCAGGACACCTACCTGGAACCCCAAGCCTGTTTTTTCTCTGGATGGGGACCCACTCCCCTTTCTGCAGCCACTGGTCTCCCACCAGGGGACCCTTGACAGAGCTGAGCCTCCTGCTGGCTGCCGTGCCAAGGCCTCCAGGGCATCGCCCTCACCTCCCCCGACACTGCTCACTTCAAAAGTGATTTCGGGAACTGTGACTCAGGCCTGCGCGCACCTGCTTTTCCCGGACATGGCCCTTGACCTCAGTTTCGCACTTCCCCACCTCTCCTTCCAGGTTTCTGCGCCTCCTCCCCAAACTTAACGTACTGTTTCGGATCACGCTACGTCACAGTTTTTATCTTAAAAACCAAACGTCTGCGAAAGCTGCCGGGGTGCTGACTGATCAGTACCCCCACAGAAGGGCAGGGGTGCCGTGGGGCAGAATGGACGGAAGACAGCAGCCCAGCCGGTTTCAGGGCCTCGGGCAAAGACGTGGCAACCCGGTCCCTGTTCCCACACTGGAGCTGATCCTCCCGGGGACAGAGGTAGGGATGCGGGGCAGAGGCTGCCAGGAGGGAGGCAGAGCTGGGCGGGTCCCAAGCCCCAGGGAGGAAGGAGCGGAAGAGGGGCCTGGGAGGGTCCAGCCGCCTCCCCCTCTTCTCTCCGCAACCCACCGCCGAGTCGCCCCCACCTCCCCTCCAGCTTGTTTGCACCTCAGACGAAAGGTCTGCTTTTCGCAAACGTATCTCCACGTGCCTACCTTGATTCAAAGCCTCCCGTCTCGGGAACCCGCTTTCGACACCTACATGGCCCGAAGCCACAGCTTGCTCAAAACGCTGGTGGCACTTGAGTGCCACCTACTGCGGACCACCTGGCGCCGGTCTGCTCAGACCTGCGGCTGAACGCCTCCTCCCCCGGGCTGCCCGCCCGCAATGGCAGTCCTCGGGCGGCAGGCTCCGCCCTTGGGCCCGGCACCCCCGCGACCCGGGCATCTGCTGCGTCACCTGACGACCGACTAAGAGCCCAACCTGACAAGCCCCAGCCGACCACGGGCAGAGGGCAAGGGGGGACGGAGGGAGGTGGGGACGGAGGAAGGCAGACAGAAAAGGCGGGGACGAGAGGCGTTAGAGTGAGAGCAAACGGGATGAGGCAGAGAAGGCTGAGGCGGAGACCCCGACCGTCGGGCCCGCGTGCTCCCGCGTCCGGTCCTGCGTACCTGGGTCACCGGGCTGCGCAGCAGGCCGGCGGCGGGCAGCGCGTAGTGCCAGCCGCGCGTGCAGGGCCGCGTGCCGTTGGGGCGGGCGTGGGGCTCGGGCTCAGGGTAGCGCAGGAGCAGGCAGGGGCTCGGGGCGCGCGCGGGTCCCAGGCGCGGCACGCTGGCGTCGAGCA